GTATAAAACTGTGGTTAACATCATTAAAAGACAATATTTAAAACTACGTTCAATGAACAAGGAGGCATCTTACAATATTAACAGGCAGTATTAAGGTGAAGATCAGTAAGTATACAAAAATTTTTAAAATGTCGCTCTGAAAAATGGAAAACACAAGTAGTAATAAAAATCCAAGCAGTAGTGCATAATAGTCTGTCTAAAAATGACACACAGGTAGCTGGTTTATTGAAGGAACACTTGCCTGAAGAGAAGAGTCTTTGCCTGCTTGTGGAAGGATAGCAAAAATGGGCCCAGCCTGGCCTCCTGTGGGAGGGAGTTCCCAAGTCTGGGAGCAACAACAGGGAAGGCTCTCTCCTGTTTGCCCATCAGATGCACTTGCGAAGCTGGCGGGATGAGAGAAAGGCTTCTCCTGATGATCTTAACACCTGAGACAGCTCATAATGGGAGATACGATCTTTGAGATAGTTTGGACCCAGACCATTTAGGACTTTATAGGTTAAATCCAGCATTTTAAATTGTGCCTGGTAACTGATTGGCAGCCAGTGGAGCTGCTGTAACGGGGGGGGGGATGTGATCCCTGTAACCAGCCCCAGTTAGCAATCTGGCTGCTGCATTTTTGGACCTATTGAAGTTTCCTGACACTTTCCATCGGCATCTCCACGTAGAGCACATTACAGTAATCCAGCTGGGAAGTAACTAGGGTGTGTTGTCTTGGAATTGAAGAGAGAATTCTGTACCCTAAGAAGGAAGCATGTTATCTTACACCATATTCTAGATTTCTTAAACAGTTAATAAAATGAAATGAGCAGGAAGCACCTGGTGGCTATGAAAGAGCCTGCAGAGTTAAGAGTATCTGTGTTGGTTTGTTCAGTTCAATTAGCAACTGCATACTTTGAATCCTAAATCCCATAACTTAATATTCTCTCTTTCTGTCTCATCTATTCTTGAGCAGGATTTCCACTTGTCAGACTTAAATTGGGTGTCCCAGACTCATTGTTCTCTGATCAACTCACCTTGAAGGAAATGGAGGTCACATCAGAACACAACACAGGTGAGAAAGACAGAAACAAACATTTGCCAGGAGCCTGACTTGGCTTCATTCACATGATAGGAAGTGGAAAACTTACGTTGCCCGCAAATTAAAGAAAGCCAAATGGTGTAACAGTATCGGGGACCGCCTGAATTGCATATTTGCTCTGAACACTAAAGCAGGGTTATGGAATGTATGGCCAGATGTTGCTCAACAGCCTAGTCAAGAATGATGGCAGTTGCAGACCAACATCTGGAAAGCCACCCATTCCTTACCTTTTCTATTACAAAATACATCTCTCCTCTTTCTGGGCTAGAAGTTCAATCTTTGTATCATATGCACACCCTTCTCTTGATCAGTTCCCAGGAACAGCCGTTGCTGAAAAGAGAGAGAGTCTCGTGCTACCTTAAAGACTACTACTGGGCATGAGCTTTTGTAGGCCTACTTCATGAAATAGGTTGAAGTCTTTGAAAATGCCAAATAAAATTTGTCAGCCTTTAAGGTGTGACAAAACGGTATTCTCGAAGGCTTTCATAGCCGGGATCTGATGGTTGTTGTGGGTTTTTTGGGCTCTTTGGCTGTGTTCTGAAGGTTGTTCTTCCTAACGTTCTCACCAGTCTCTGTGGCCGGCATCTTCTGAGATCAGGAGTCAGAACTCTGTCTGTGCTCTGGTGCAGTTTGTTTGGATAGTTGAGTATCCAAACAAACTGCACCAACTTTTGTCCTTTTCAGGAGATGGGTGATTGCGGTGATCAGCGTGTTTTTTGTTGTGGGTGTATTATTGTGATAAGAGGGAGAGATTATCTGTCATTGTGATTGATGGGTGTCATTAGCTGGTCTTTTGTGTGTAGTGATCACTGGTCCTTGTAGCTGGGTAGAGTTTGTTGACTTTTTGCAGGCTGTATTTTTCAGTGCTGGGAGCCAGGCTTTGTTGAGTTTTACACTTTCTTCTTTGTTTGTTGAAGCTCTGCTGGTGTTTTTGGATTTCAATGGCTTCCCTGTGCAGTCTAACATAATGATTGCTGGTGTTGTCCAGTACTTCGGTATTTTCAAATAGAATTTCATGTCCAGCTTGTTTTAGGGCATGTTTAGCTGCTGCTGATTTTTTCCGTTTGTTTTAGTCTGCAGTGTCTCTCATGTTCTTTGGTTCTGATGTGGATGCTGCATTTTGTGGTTCCAATGTATACCTAGCCACAACGGCAAGGTATCTGGTATACTCCTGCAGTGGTGAAGGGGTTGCCTTTGTCCTTTGCTGACTGTAACATTTGTTGTATTTTTGCGGTGGGCTTGAATACTGTTTGTAGGTTGTGTTTTTTCAAAAGTTTCCCCATGCAGTCCGTGACCCCTTTGAGGTTTGGCAGAAATACTTTATTTGTGGGTGGCTGTTTTTCCTCTTCAGTTTGGTGTTGTTTTCTTGGTTTGATGGATCTTATGATTTCATTTTTGGAATAGCCATTTGCCTGTAGGGCCCAATTCAGATGGTTGAGTTTGGTGCTGAGAAACTGAGCTTCAATGTTCCGATTGTCTTTTTCTTAGGTTCTTAACAGATGAACATTATCCATTGGTTGTTGTGGGTTTTTCAGGTTCTTTGGCCGTGTTCTGAAGGTTGTTCTTCCTAACGTTTCGCCAGTCACAACAGCATCCACCCAAACGTACAAAACTCTTTCTTCTCTCAGCTGATCAGGGTTTCCTGTTGTGACGATGAAACAAGGAGAGTAGCCACGGTCTCTCTTCCTCTGTGGAAATTTGAAACCATTCCAGGTACCAGATCAGATGATGTGCAGGCCACAAAGAGCCTTTCCCAGCGACCTAATTTTTGTTCCACAACTGTTTGTGCTGTTAGCCACTTGTTACGTATCATCCAGACAGATCATCGCAATGGGCTACTTTGGTTGTGAAGACACCATATCTTCACTGCTGGTTTTTCCAACATTAATACTGCAGTATTGTTTACTCAGGCAAACGTTTTGGCAGGCTGCACTTTATTATACAGGCCAGAATAATTATCGTAGGTCTGGGAAGAAAAAAAACCCACCTGACATTATTTTTCTGCAGTGTCGTTATTGCAAGTCCTTACACATTGCACCCTCTAATTTCTGAATTGCCATGCTCCCCTCTTTACCTGCTGTATTTCTCCTGTCGCTTCACTTCTCCTCACTGGAAGAGTTGTGGAGGTAAGATTTTCTGGATGCTGAGGAAAGGAACATCTCGCATACCAGACCACAGTTTGACAGGATGCCACACCAAATATCTTTTCAAGACTTGACTAGAAATATCCTTGTCACTGACTCTGCTCCACAAAGGTGCATTTTTCACCCATCAGCTTTTTGTTGGAAGTTGGTTGGGGGGCATCTTAGCCCTGCAAAATACACAGCCAGGCTGATGATGAAAAGCAATCTACTTTCCCTTTGAAAGAAGGTGCACAGTCCTGGTGCACCCTGTGCACAATTGTCTGCCCAAGAATATGATACAGGAGTATCTGTAAAATATTGGCTTGGAGAACACACAGCTTCTTGTATGTTTATTTTGCTGTGACTACTGCAGCAAAATTAAAAAAGGGGGAAAGCACAGAGTACAAAAGAAAAGAGAGAGAGAGAGAGAGCACAGTGGTGTCTTTTTCTTAGGTTCTTAACAGATGAACATTATCCATTGGTTGTTGTGGGTTTTTCAGGTTCTTTGGCCGTGTTCTGAAGGTTGTTCTTCCTAATGTGTCACCAGTCTCTGTGGCCTGCATCTTCAGTGGACAGCACAAAAAACCTACAACAACCATTAGATCCTGGCTGTGAAAGCCTTCGTGAAAACATTATCCATCTTTACAGGATTAGTAAGTGATGCTGAAATCTAGGTCCCAGACCTGGATAAATTATAAAGTCTTTGGGTAACTGCATCTCTCATTCTTCTATGCTGAAGCTTATGTTCTTGGACTGCAACTCCCAGAAATCTTGGCCAGCTCAGCCAGTGGTGAAGGCTTCTGGTACTTGTAGTCCAAGAACATTGGGGGACCCAAGGTTGAGGACCATTAAGTTAGGAGATGCTCCTGAGATGGTCAGAATGAGAACATAAAAAACAACAGACCTGCCATTTCTTTATTCATATGTGTTAACTGGTTCTGTTTGGCTATCATTATTTATTGAATGATTTTTTTTTTGTTATGTTATGAACTGTCAAGTCAGAACAGCTACCTTAATAGGCTTTCAAGGTAAGTGACATAGTTAGGGAGTGGTTTTACCAGTATCAATTCCCAAGCACAGTGAGTTTCCATGGCCAAATGCAGATGCAAATCCAGGTCTCCTGAGCCCTAGTCCATCACTCTACCCACTACATTGCATGGGTCAGCACTGTATTTTTAGCCCCTCCAAACAACCAAGGTTTTCAAGGTTGTGCATCACAAATGCCCCACTACATTGCATGGGTTAGCACTGTATTTTTAGCCCCTCCAAACAGCCAAGGTTTTCAAGGTTGTGCATCACAAATGAAAAATAGAAAAACACAAACAATAATATAGTAAATGAAGAGACTGTAGTTTAAGCCCCAGATACATTAGCAAAGCACAGAAACATTAGTTTGTTAAATTAAAAGCAGCTGCAAGTTGAATGACGGCAAAGTTTTAATAGCACTGAAATGTGCGGAAGGGAGACACAAACACCATAACTACTGGAACAAGAGAGATATATTACATAGTCTCTTTGCCCCCTAAGTTTCCTTTCATTCACATTCCTCATTGTTGGTCTGCATGTCTCTCAGACTTAAGATTCAGTCTTGTCTTCCCTTATCCTTCTTCCTAGCAGATAACTGGAAAGAAATGAATGACTGCGTAAATCATGGAAGGAGTTTTACAAATAAAATGGATCTTGCTAAAGGCCAGCAAACCCCCAAGGAAGGGAAAGGTTTTACCAAAGAGCAAAACTACACATGTGGCAAATGTGGGGAAGATTTTGCACACAGGGCGGCACTTATCCTTCACAAGAAGATCCATGCCAGGAAGAAACGTTTTCCATGTGAAGTGTGTGGGAAATGTTTTGCTTGCAACTCGCACCTTGTGGAGCATCAGAGAGTTCACACAGGGGAAAGACCATACAAATGTCAGGAGTGTGGGAAAGGCTTTGCTTCCAGTTCAGGCCTTGTGATCCATCACAGAGTCCACACAGGAGAGAAACCATACAAATGTGAGGAGTGTGGGAAGTGTTTTGCTCATAAGTTTGGACTTATAAGACATCAAACAGTTCATACAGGAGAGAGATCATACAAGTGCCAGGAATGTGGAAAATGTTTCGCTTCCAATTCACATCTTCTGGAGCATCAGAGAGTCCACACAGGAGAGAAACCGTACAAATGCCAGGAGTGTGGGAAATGTTTCGCTCAGAATTCACACCTTGTAATCCATCGGAGAGTCCATACTGGGGAGAAACCGTACAAATGCCAGGAGTGTGGGAAATGTTTTGCTCAAAATTCAAACCTTGTGAGCCATCAGAGATTTCACACCAAAGAGAAACCATATAAATGCCAAGTGTGCAGGAAGTGTTTTGCTTCCAGTTCACAGCTTGTGATCCATGAGAGAGTCCACACAGGAGAAAAACCATACAAATGCCAGGAATGTGGGAAATGTTTTGCCCACAATTCACATTTTTCAAGCCATCTGAAAGTCCATACAGGAGAAAAACCATACAAATGCCAGGAGTGTGGAAAATGTTTTGCTCAGAGTTCATACTTGATGAGGCACCAGAGAATCCATATAGGAGAGAAACCATACAAATGCCAGGAATGTGGAAAATGTTTTGCTCATCATTCTAATCTTGTGAGGCACCAGAGAGTTCACACAAGAGAGAAACTGTACAAATGCCTGGAATTTGGGAAATGTTATGTTTCATATTCACAGCTTCGAAAACATCAGAGGTTTCACACAAGAGAAAAACCTTATAAATGCCAGGCATGCAAGAAATGTTTTGCTTCTAGTTCACAGTTTGTGAGCCACCAAAGAGTCCACACAGGAGAGAAGCCATACAAATGCCAAGAATGTGGGAAATCTTTTGCTCACAATTCAACATTTCTGTACCATCTAAGAGTCCACAGAGGAGAGAAACCATATAAATGCCAAGAGTGTGGAAAATGCTTTGCTTCTAGTTCACAACTTCTGACCCACTATAGAATCCACACAGGAGAAAAACCTTTTAAATGCCAAGAGTGTGGGAAGTGTTTTGCTCAGAATTCACTTCTGGTCACCCACCACAGAATTCACACTGGGGAGAAACCATACAAATGCCAGGTGTGTGGGAAATGTTTCGCTTCCAGTTCAGTTCTTGTCATTCACCGGAGAGTCCACACTGGTGAGAAGCCATACAAGTGCCAGGAGTGTGGGAAAGACTTTGCTCAGAATGCGACCCTTCTGTACCATCAGAGAATCCACAGAGGAGAGAAGCTGTACAGCTGCCAGATATGTGGGAAACTGTTTGGTCGGAATTCACAGCTTATGAGGCATCAGAGAGTCCATACACAGGAAAAACCATGCAAATCCCAGTAGAATATGATTTGCTTACACTTGAGGTCTGACAGATTTCAACAGATTCTGTCTTGAACTGGTGGGTCATTCAGTGGTTTAGGTCTCTAGCTATGGAGCCAGAGGTTGAGGGTTCGATTCCCCTCTGTGCCTCCCTGACAGGGGCTGGACTCAATGAGCCATAGGTGTCCTTCCAGGTCTCTAGTCCTCACTGAAATTATTATTCTAAGAGTATTTTCAAAAAATGGACTTTGTAGGGAACTCATTCAAAGATGTTTCCAACCATTCTCACCATACAAAATATTATCTAGGATAATTTACCAGAGATTACATGTTGAGGAGAAACTTCACCAGGTCTCTGCCTTTGGAAACACCCCTTAGTCAAATCAAATGCAACAAGCTGCCCCAAACATTACTTGGAGGGAAATAACTTGAGTGCACAAAGTGTAGTAGTGTTTTTATCACACCATGTAACTTGCAAATCATCAGTGTGGGCAGTTTTAGTCTAAAGTTCCATCTTGTGGCTATTAAGGGATACATCACTGGTGTTTAGCATAATCAAGTTATTGTAGTATAAAGATACATTGTTCTATGATTCTCTCTCTGCGCATGTGTGGAATGTGTAGAAAAGATAAGTTTCTCGACCCTCCATCTGTGTCTGGTGTTGGAAAAGTTACTTTTTTAGACTTCTTTTCTTGGAATCCTCTAATCACCATAACGATCGAGGAGCCACAAAAAAAGCTTTGTGAAATAAAGTAAATTTAGGTACGCAGTGTTAAGTGAAATAAGGGATTTGAATGTTCTGCACAGCATGTTCAATGGAAAACTGTCTCTGTATAGGCAAATTAAAAGTGAAGGCTGGTTCTGAAATAAAGGTGATGGTAGTATTAAGTGGTAAGAAACATGAGCACCACCCAATAGTTTTCTTTTCAAAAAGATATCAGAGATCTCTCCCTGGTTTTCATGCAACTGCTGCTTGGCTGGCTTCCAAGCAGGGTTCCCTGGGGATTTCCCCACACATCAGCAAAATTACAAAATGACAAAAGTAAGGCTATGTATGTCTGATGTTGGAAAAGTTACTTTAGACTTCTTTTCTTGGAATACTCTAATCACCATAACGAGCAAGGGAGGAGCCACCAAAAAAAGCTTTGTGAAATAAAGTAAATGTAGGTACGCGGTGTTAAGTGAAATAAGGGATTTGAATGTTCTGCACAGCATATTCAATGGAAAACTGTCTCTGTACAGGCAAATTAAAAGTGAAGGCTGGTTCTGAAATAAAGGTGATGGTAGTATTAAGTGGTAAGAAACATGAGCACCACCCAATAGTTTTCTTTTCAAAAAGAAAGTGGTTTCCAGTACATCCAGACCATGTGATGGGGAGTAAGAAATGGACAGCATACATGGAGCAAGGACACCCTTCTTGCAGTGAAGATGCCCACTCCATGGCTAGAAGGACAAAACACTCACCACTCAGCTTTCTGAAGATCTAGTTTTTTTAAAAAAAAATTGAATCTGTGTTTTGCAGCTGCCAGCTTCATTCTGTTATTTTGTTGAGATGTATGGGCTAACTAGAGTAAAGGGGCTTACATAAATGAGATCTTGATCAGATAACACTAGAAGTGTGTGGATTTGTGTTTGATAATCTCAGCTCCCAGAAATCCCCATTTGGCACCTGGGGAACTATAGTCCAGAAACAAATCTGCAGACACATAGTTAATGCTTACATAGGTTCCAGGAATTCAGTGGATGTGCTCTAGCTGGGATTGAAAACAACTTATCTCAATTTACACATTTAAACACATGATTGTTGGTTTCCTTCTACCTCATTTTCTTTTTTAAAGTTTTTTTAAAATTTTCTATAACTAACATAAACAAAACATATACATATAACATATAAACTCAAATACAATTACTGTGTTCCCACCACCATGTGCCATATTCTTCTTCTTCTTCTATTGTCCTCTTCTCCAAAACTGCATAGATTCTTGATTTGGAGCTTTCCCTTTCCCCCTTATTAGCACATATTCCAAAAATTTGCCCCATATTACATAAAAATTGTTCTTTTTCAACTCTCCTTTCTTAATCTTTAAATTACAAGTTAATTTAGCATTTATTGCTATATTCCATATTTATTTGTACCATTCTTCAATTTGCAATTCAGTTTTTAATTTCCATTGCCTAGCAATAATCAAAAACAACCTCTTATCTCAATTTACACATTTAAAGTCATGATTATTGGTTTCCCTGTACCTCATTTTCTTTTTTTTAAGTATTTTTTTATTTTCTATAACTATAACATAAACAAAACATATACATATAACATATAAACTCAAATACAATGACTGTGTTCCCCACCACCATGTATGGGACCTCTTGTCATCTTCTTCTTTTCTTCTATTGTCCTCTTCTCCAAAACTGCATAGATTCTTGATTTGGAGCTTTCCCTTTCCCCCTTA